TTGTTTTTCATTGCAGGTGTTCTTGGGTATTGCCAAYTTCCTTGTCGTCAGCTTGGGCGGCACCTTAATGGGGGCACTCTGGGGTTTTGCAACAGGTTTTGCTACTAAATTTACAGACCATGTGAGAGGTACATGCCTTTATAAATGCCTAAGCATCTTCTTGAGACAGTGTACATTACATAATTATTAATTCCATTTGTACATACCATATAACAATCTCATAATGTCTGACGACCATGCAAGGAATTTCATTCAAAATGAAGGTGGATAGAGTGAATTCAGGTCAAAACAAAAGGTCAATTTTTATACTTTTCTTTCTTCATCTCATGTGTATTAAATTTTATATCTTTTATTTGTGAATTAGTGACTGGGTTACTGTACCTTGGTATTGTGTACTTGTCAGCCATTATGAGAACGGTGTATTGTGCATTCTTCAGCTTTTATTAAGGGAATGGTAACAGGGATTCACTKGTTTTTGCATTCAAAAATGTGATTGGATTTTTATGGGGCAGGAATAAATAATTATGGAAATGGAGCTGAGAGTAAGGAAAGGAGTACTAGCCATGGTCTCTTCAAATTTCACCACTGGACATACCTATATATGTAATAGGATTAAGTGCCAAAATGTTGGCCAGAAAATGGGATTTCAACCTGTATTCATAATTGATAAAGCTTTATCAAGCATAAAGCAAGAATTATAAATTAGTATCTTCTGTATTTTTAAAGTTAATTTTGTAATATTTCTTTAGTTATTGAGCCCATCTTTGTGTTCGTGATGAGCTACCTGTCATATCTTTGTGCTGAAATGTTTCATCTTTCTGGAATTATGAGGTAAATATTGGTTATGTACAGTAGTTCAATCAAAAAATCAACTTTATTACTATTTATTATTTAGATAGTATACATGTACACTGTACATGCTCTGATTGGTCGAGAATTGTGCTTTATTAGTGAATGGAGCGCAATTGGTGAAGCCATCTGCATGAGCGAAGCAAAGTTCTCTTCTTACTTTTTCTTACTTGCGTCAGTGAAATTACTCTGCATATCTGTAGACTGTAAAATACTTTCCTTCTTCTCTGAATCAGTTATTTTGAAGATCCTGACTCCATT